TTAAAAATTACTTCATAAAGTCTTGTGTGGTGGCTTATAGCTGTTATACATCATGCAATATAATATAATTAAAGAAGAGTCATTTTACTGTAAATAGTAAATACACGTTCACCCCCTTTCATTTCACTTTTTATTATACTATTAGACTTTGATTATTATTATTATCTTTTTATTTTATCCTTATATGTTAGAATTTATTTCGCATATTTGATATGTCATAAAATGTTTTGATATTAAATTAAAATATGAATTTACAAAATAAAACTCTAGGTTATTGTTTAACATAAAATTTAAAAAAAAACAAAATTTAAGAAAAATAAAACAATATTTTTTTAAAAGGTGTAAAAAACCTCATTTATTAGATATTTTTTTATGATTGAAAATATGTTCATTGAGATTTTTAGGATGCTTTTTAGATTATTGTGGGTGTCTAGATCAACTTATATATATTTTGATTAATCTCATGAGTATTGAAATTAATAATTATATAAGTCTTTAATTGATCTAAGATTTATAGAACTCGAACCGGTAATTTTTAATAAATAAATTTATGATTTAACTAGTTGAGCTATATATTTCATGATTGATTTTTAGGATGTCGTGTTTTTTAAATGAAAACAATTTAAAAAAGAATTTTTTTAAAATCCAAATACTCACACCCTAAAATCATATCTGTAATACTAGCATTTTTTTTTTCATATATTAAAAATCAATTTAAAATCATATCCGCGTATTGCTAAGTGTAATGTGGTAAATCCTAAATAGCATATTAAGAAGTTTTTACGGCGCTTTGTTCGAAATATTGCTGATTCTAGCTTGGAGAAGTTGTTGCTTACGGGGGATACCAATGAGATTAACTAGTTTAATCATTAGTGTCGAACTGGAATATGCATTCTGTTTTTTTAAGTAATTTTATATTAAAAATACTTTAAATTTATATTCTTTTGATGTTTTTCTAATAATTATAATATACTAATATAAAAAATAAAAAAAATCTTAACATATTTTAAAAAAATACACCCGAACTAAGATACAAGCATTCTTCCATCATTTCCTTTCAATCGTGCACCTCTGCGGATGTACAGACCCCATGATTATTCTCATGGCAAAGCTTCAAGGAAGATGGCAGGAGACAACAAATTAATCTTGGTTCGATGTATAGGCCCTGGGATTTGGGTTGAAGCCATTCATGGATAATTCTGAACAAGAACAATCTGAAGAGCGATGGAAAATATGAAATTTATGTTATCCTATGTTTAAGAATATGATCAACCCATTAATGAGTCACAGATTAATAAACTTTCACCTTCGTTGCCAAGCCTCTTCCGACTCCTGTTAGAGCTTCAAGATTGTTAATGTTACATTTAGATTATATATGCCTCTTCCGACCCCTGGTTTTGGAGCTTTAGACCATCTTTGTTTATATATATATAAAGAGGAATCATGGGGTTTTTTTTGCTTGGTATAAAGACATTACATTTAGATTTCAAAATGGGGTGTTTTTTTGCTTGGTATAAAGACATTACATTTAGATTTCAAAATATTTTTTTTACTTTATATCTATCTCATTTCTATAGAATAGCTTTTAGCAATTATTCATATAATTCTATAAAATCTCTTATAGTAACCCATTATAAAGAAGGCAGCGGCAATATCAATAATGTTTGCATATACAGTCTATGGGCCAAGGATATATAAGTCCCGAATCTGGCGAGTTATCTTCTTCAAATTGGGCCAGGCCATGAAGTGGCTTGCCCGTGATGGTTTCAGTTAACTTAGAAATATTAAATTAAGATTTAAGATTAACACAGTAGATTTCAATTTTACAATGCTAATGTTAAGGTTTTATAAGTAAATTATGAAAAAAATTTAATAGCATTTTCATATAGATTAAGAAATTCAAATATTTTATGCGAATAGAAAAATATGTCTGATTTTTATAAAAAAAAACTTTTACATATTGCAGAGCACTTAAAGAATGTTTATTTTGATAAAAAAAAGTAAAATTAAATATTTTTTTAGAAAATAAGTTATTTTTATTATTTAAATATGTATGCGTGAGGAAAAAGCTTAAGATTTTATATTAATAATTTTAAGAATGACGGTAATAAAATGAAAAAGGTTATAATATTTAAAATTATATTAGTGTTATGACGATGGTAAATGCTGGTTGCTATAAAATGATGGTTACAGTAGAGTCAATATTCGAGTTACAATGAAGTGATGGGGGCAATATAATAAACATGAAAGGTAAAAGTGAAGATAAAATAAATGATAAAATAAAATTTATATGTATTTAATTAAAAAAAAAACAATAAATATAAGTATTAGATTTTAAAATTTGAAAATTTAGAGGGCTGCTATCTTGAAAACACAATGTAGCGTTGGGTTTTGTTTTTTAAATTAATGCGAGTATTTTAATCAGCTTATATATATTTTGATTAATTTTATAATTTTTAAAGTTAATAAATATATAAATTTTCAAATATTTATAGAATTTAAATTAATAATCTTTTAATTTTTTTTTTAAATCCTACTAATTAAATTATATCCTATAACGGGTGGAGTGATGATGATTGTAACAGTAGTAAGTAGTGATTACAATGTTGATAGCTCAAACAAAAAACAAATTTCTTTGATAAGGTTGAAAAGGATTTCTTCGAACTGGTAATATACAGGAGTGAATCGGGAAATGTTTTTCTTGGGAAGAGGCATGGAGAAGATGTAAAACAATTTCTTCAGATTAGCAATAAAGGACAGATTCCCAGTAGCTTGTGATCTTGGAGATACATCAACCTGTCCAATGATGATATAGCACTCTGTTCAAAGTTGAAGAAAAAGAGAAGAAAAAACACTATTCAACTGCTCAGGATCAATGTTTCTTTGAAGTTAAACTTTCTTTTGCTTTCTTCAAGTAAAAAAGCTGTTGCCCTTTATGTAACTGTTGATTTTTTCAAAGAGCAGTACTCTCTGCCAAGAGTGGCTTGATCTGTTGTTGCCTGCAGATTTTGCCCCAAAAGGGTGCATCTTGCATTAATGCTTCCTTGATTTTGGGCAATTACACTAGGCATCCTCTCAGCTAAGATGATCTTTGTTCTAAGCTCGTTCACCTGCACAATTACATGGCGGGAAGGGACCCTTGTTGAATTCCAGCTAGATTTTGGAAGCAGCCTCTCACAGGGATGAGAGACTTCCTTGCTGCAAATATGCTTGGCCTCTTACAGGTATCGGTCTTGTCTACAATGCTGATCCAGGAACCAGAAAACGTGCATATTGAACACATCCTTTCATGTTTTTTTTTT